CTCCATATTTTCAGTGAGTAACCATAATATCATGTATTATCCAGACCTGCACTGTCCAATACAGTAGGTACTAGACACATGACTATTCAAATTTAAACTAATAAATATTAGCCCTAACCGGTTTAGCTCAGTGGATAGAGCGTCGGCCTGCAGACTGAAAGGACCCAGGTTCGATTCTGGTCAAGGGCATGGACCTTGGTTGTGGGCACATCCCCAGTAGGGGTGTGCAGGAGGCAGCTGGTCGATGTTTCTCTCTCATCGATGTTTCTAACTCTCTATCCCTCTCCCTTCCTCTCTGTAAAAAATCAATAAAATATATTTACAAACTAATAAATATTAAATACAATTTAAAATACAGTTCCTCAGTCACACCAGCCCTATTTTAAGTACTCAATACCTAAGTGTGATTACTGGTTAACACTTTGGATAGCACAGACAGAGAATATTTCCATCCCCCCTGATCTTGAGACATGACTTTACCTCCCTCCTTACACTGCCTGACTTTAGACCATTTTACTGCTCAAGTTTATCAGGAAAAAATAAAAGAAAGAAATCTCAGATCAATACATTTGGCTCGTAAAAGATATAATAAGGAGAGACTAAAATTTTTGGTTAGGTGAAATTTTGGTTTGGTTACCCATTCGATGATACTTTTCTGAATCTCCCCAGTTAGAACCAATCACTTGGGTGATGGGTAGGGGCTGGGAGGATGGGGGGGAAGGGAGGGGGGGAACAGGAAATATCTATAATACTATCCTATCTAATAAAAGAGGTAATATGCAAATTGAGCATTGCTCCAACACACAAGATGGCCGCATCCATGTGGACACAAGATGGCCAGCAGGGGAGGGCAGTTGGGAGGGACAAGGCCTGTAGGGAAGGGCAGTTGGGAGGGACAAAGCCTGCAGGGGAGGGCAGTTAGGGGCGACCAGGCTGGCAGGAGGAGGGCAGTTAGGGGTGACCAGGCCGGCAGGGAGGGCAGTTAGGGGCAATCGGGTCGGCAGGGGAGCAGTTAGGCGTCAATCAGGCTGACAGGGGAGTGGTTAGGGGGTGATCAGGGTGGCAGGCAGAAGCAGTTAGGGGCAATCAGGCAGGCAGGCAGGTGAGTGGTTGGGAGCCAGCAGTCCTGGATTGTGAGAGGGATGTTTGACTGCCCATTTAGGCCCAATCCCGATCGGGCCTAAACGGGTAGTCGGACTTCACTCAAGGGATCCCAGATTGAAGAGGGTGCAGGCTGGGCTGAGGGACACACACACCCTCATGCACAAATTTTGTGCACCGGGCCTCTAGTCAACAACAAAAAATAAATTTAAAAAATAAATTAACTGATTAATTAAAATAATTTTTAAAAAAAGAACCAATCACTTCTTTTACATTCCTAGTTTATACTTTTATTAAAGAACTAGAGAGCCGGTGCACGGGATTCGTGCACTGGTGGGGGGCATTGCCTGTGGGGATCAGCCCACTGTGGGAGTGTCACTCATCCCAGTCAGCGGAGTGGCGCTCTCACTGTGGGAGCACACTGACCACCAGGAGGCAGCTCCTGCATTGAGTGTCTGCCCCCTGGTAGTCAGTGCACGTCATAGTGACTGGTCGAGTGGTCGTTCTGCTCATTCCGCCATTTGGTCACTGGGCTTTTATTATATAGGATATAATTTTCTTTGTACTGTAATGATTTAGATAAAGTACATATGTCTAGTCTCCCATTAGATTTTAATCTCTGAGGTGAAGAATCATATTTGTTTCTATATTTATACCACCATAACATAACCAACCTCACTTTCTAGCAACTCAGCACAGAACTTTATGCACAGCCGGCACTCACAGCTCGAGGTGAATTATCACTAGAATTGTAAACTCCTGAGAATAAGAAATTTATCTATCTTGTTCATCCATGTGTACTCCAGAATGTAGTATAATGACTAGAACATTGTAAACAATAAACAGTTATCTAATAACTTTGAGGTCCTTTATCTGATGCCACAGGCAGATGTAAGTTTAGTTTCTTAAGAAAAAATTCGTAGCAAAAGGATTTCTAAAATGTTTCCATCATTACTAAAGTGAACATTTAAAATAAGTGATGGTTTATAGC